ATATCGTTGTACATACTCAAATTAAAAATGCGAGAGTCATTCGTAAATAATTAATTATTTGCTATGGAACTGTTCCGCTGGAAACAAGTGAATACATACATCCAATTCACGAACGATTTTTTTAATCTGGCATTTTTATTTCTAATGTGAATACAGCTACCTTCTCTTAAGCTTAACTTCTCTTAAGTTGAACTGTTTTAATTTTTTTTAATAAGAAAGTAAAATTACTGTGTGTTAGACTCAGACGCCGCCGCCACGGAAAGTTTACCGAAAGGGTAGACAAACAGAAACTGAGAGACCAGGGAAAAGTTGTCCGTCATTGCTCATTTTTCAATTTTTATTTTGTAATAAACTGATTTTTCAATCCAATTTGTGATTAGTTTGTGTATCATAAGGAGCATTCACAGGTCAATTGAATAAGTGTTATTTGTTTTTGAGGGTTCAATTGATACAAGTATTATTTTTTTCATTTTTATGTTTTTTTGTTTGTTTATAACATTTTTTATAAATGTGCATTGTTCATGTATTTAACAAAAATCGTTTCATGCTGTGAACAACGCAGATGAGATAAAAAAAGGGTGAATTAAAACCTAGAAAAATTTTGTGCTGTCTTGTGTGCTGGGATTTTGATTTTGTTAATCCGAAAGTGCATTAGGGCCCTGTTGAATCTACTAACACTTTCCTACCCTGACGAGCGAATATCCTAGCAAACAAATTGAAATAATCAGTCTCTCATAGGGTCCTCAGTACCTGCTGGTGAAACTGGCTAACCAACCAAAAACTCTTCAGTATTGAATATAGGTAGTTTTGATTGAATGTAGTGTGTGGAATTAAATTTTTAGCACAAGGACAGGGACGGTACCTAATTTAAATTATTAATGACTCACAATTATTTATTAAAATGACATAGTATGTTTTGATTTTTGAGGAATCGAGGGTTTCTCTGCCGTGCTCTTTACCCTCCTAAGTTCCAGGTCAAGAACGGTGCGATTTCCTAATAATAAATTAGACGTTTCACAAATTTTTTGTTTATTTTACACATCATAACTTCCCTCAAATTTCCCTAATTTTGCTATTGTCGGGCGTATTTCAAGTAAGTAAAATTGAGTAAGTTTTCACAACGTAGGTCCTATTTGTTTTTCATTTCATTTTTCAGAAGATTTGCTAAAAAAAGATTCAATAAAAATTCTAACCGATCAATCTTGCTGAGCGCACCCGGGTATGTTATACTACAATATGAATGAATACGATTCTGAATCGGCATGAAATTCTCTGAAACTTTCCCAATTTAGCTGACTGTCTATCTCTTATCATAACATAAATCCCAATGGTGAGGATCTAAATTGGAACACACAGGCTAGCCTACTAATACCACTGTACCTATACTGAGGACGTTATCTCCAAACAAAATACCTAATACCTTTATTATTTCCTACGAATTCCTGAAAGTGGAATTGATTATGGAGTGCAACAATTTTTATTGCTATTCTTTTCATGTAAAATTTGTACAATAGTGAAATATTCACATTTCATTTTCAGTTGGAATCAACTGAAAATTCCTTGGTGAAAAATGGAAAAACGCAAGATTTTACATGTGTAATTTAAAGGCATGCTAAGTTAAGACAAAATCTTCAGACTACACAAATACTAGCTTTGTCATTGAAATTTATTATTTATTGTTTGCTGGACAAAAGAAACCATTTAGATAAAACACATTTATAAAACTGGTTCTTAACCACTAAAATAGAAAATATATTTCCAGTATTAGGGCTTGTTCTCTTGGAATCGCTCTTTAGAAAATGATATATTGTGTTACAGACCAAGGTCCTTGTTAAAATATACGAGAGTTTTCCATTTTATCTTCAAAGAGATTGCAATTTCTTTCCGGACAAATCCCACGTAAAATAATAGCATCCATTTTAAGGAACCCTATAGATAAAGAAAAATGGTAGGTAGAATATGGAATAGTTCAAAAATGTATATTTTCAGGCATGCAAAAAATATAGATTTTCTCATTAATATATATAAAATGATACCTCTTACGCTAGAATCTACATAGTTATTTCATAATAATAAATTATTCTAATGCTGACTACTAAAAAAAGTAAATCTCCCTATACTCTCTCGGAATAGCAAAAAAGGAAGACACAATAATCAGCATTTTCCGGAGAATCGTTTGAACATTTCTATAGACTTTGATTATGTTTTTATTGCAAGAGAATTTCCAAGCGATTAATATCCATTAAATTAAATTTTCTCGCGATTGGACCCCTTTATGGCACCACTGACTTGCGATTGCTGAACTTCAGTGCCACGGGCGAGTTCCATATTGTCACCACTCTGATCCAGCTTCAGGCCATCAGAACCACTGGCAAGCTACAAATCCGACTCCCAGGGTCCCTTCAACGAATCAGTGTTTACTCGGGTTTGAAAATTGTGTTGTTTTGTCTGGGAACCATCAAACCAAGCGGAGCGCCTTCACTGTGACATTTTTCCAATCCTTCAGGCTTCACTACACCAAAGATAGGTACCTATTTAATTTTAATACTTCGAACTAATATTAACAAAGAGAAGACACCCTTCAGGTTGAGCTATGTAATATTTTTCTTGTTCTTGGTTTGTTCCGGATTTTGATTAAATATAGATAATTCTCCATAGACACTGAATGTTGCACTGAGTACAGTAGGTACTTTGTTTTGTACACTTAGATTAAATGGCCGTTTACGAAGCTACCACACTTAGCAAGCTTGTCAGTTGAATCATGCTATACATAAACAATAACCATAAATATTTTTGAGCTAGTTCGGGACTCAAAAAGTCGTAGGTACTATTTACTATAGGTAGGTACCATTCAATTTACTATATTATTTTTGGTGATTTATTTATTTTTAGGAGTACGTGAGGTTTATGGTTAAGTTATACCTACTTTGATTTCTGGTCTGCTTTCAGTGCGTTCGATTTTCGAATATTTTAATTGATCATGTTTCTTGAACTAGGGCTTCCGAAAAACTCACTCCGAGCCTGCCCCGGAGCCAAATACACATTTATATTTGTTAATAACAATTTTAAGGTCATTGTCGTTGGCATTGAAAGATAATCCGTACCTATCTTCAGAAAAGCGTTTCACTTTCTGCCCTTCTACCCTTTTTGTTGTTTACTTCTAAATTTCAGGTTGTGTTGCTAGAGATAATTTATAAGTTTCCTGCTTTGGTGATATCATCGATGGACTTCGTCTACTGCAGGGAAAAGCAGGTGGCGTTATAGTATTTTTAATTAACCCATACCCCCTCTCTGCTTTGAAGCCACCAACCACCCCATTGTTTTATTTTTTTTTATTGTTACTCATTCCTTTTCATTCTGCTGCAATTCCTACTCTTTATATTTTATTTTCTCATTATTTTTTTTTAGGTAACAACTCTAAAGCAACTGACAAAAATAACGACATAATTTCGGATTTACATACATTAGCTTCCAAATCAGCGTTCGAGATGTTTAAATCTAATCATGCAAATCAGGAATCGATGATAGACATTCCCATCATCAACCATTAAAATTCGAACTATTCCAAACCCATAATTTTATTGAAAATTGGATTAAATGAAATATTGTGCATAATAGGACCTACGTACAATCTTCATTCATTCATCTCGTACCAATTTTGAAACATTGTCATGGTGTTGAAGTTTCTATATACTATCGTTTTTCCGTAGATATTTTGGAAAGTTCTCTGCCGGTCCTCATAATGCCTTACAAGTTATTAGTAAACTCAGGAAATTTTACTACCATCGGCCAAAAGATCCCGCAATATTTAAATAGAAATTGGTTACCCGTGATATTTGAATGAAATTTAATTATTATGTTGTTGAAGATGCCGGAAGCAACATTTTTTACTATGGGCATAACTTTGTATATATGACAGGTGAGGCGGTGTTGGCTGTCAAATATTGGAATCTTTTATCCAAAAGCAGAGCAACTATGGCAGATTTTGATGAACGAAATATCGCTTCCTGCGAAGTCGACCAAAGTAAATCGCAAATTTCCAACATTCTGATACCTGTTAAAACCCTGTCAAACAGCAGCACTAATATTTTTCAGTTTTCAATATTTTATAATATGTCATTTGACAGTTCTAGCTTGTGGGTAAATTCTAAGTTCAAAATTTTAAAAAAATTAGGTACAGAACTATCAAAACCTGTCATTCGTTTCAGTAGACTCTAATCTAATTCTTTTTCGTTTTAGCATAGTTTATTGGTAATAAAACATTATTGACAAGTTATTGACAAATACAGCTGTCGAAGTGTGACGAAGTGCATAAACTTTGTTTAACGTTTTATCACCTATAAACTACCTTAGAACAAAAAAGAACCAGATTGGAGTCTTTTTTTTACAAAAACAAATAACAGGTTTTTACAATTTTTAATTTTTCTTAAATCAGCATTTAAATACAAGTTAAAAATGTCAAATCACATATCAAAAAATATTGAAAACTGAAAAATATGAGTGCTGCAGTTGGGCAGGGTTCAGGTCGGGCGACCGCACGGGCCAATGCACACAGACAGGGCCGCCTCGGCTAATACACTTATTGCCAAAGGTGTCATCCAATATTGCCGCGCTTGAACACTGAAGTGTGGTGGAGCGCCATCGTGTTGAAACCACATATTAGCTCTTAGGTTTAGTGGCACACCCTCCAACAGCTCTGGTAGCACCTGCTGTGAAAAGCGAGCGTAAATTTTCCCGTCCAAGCGTGCTGGAGGCAAATATGGCCCGATGATATGGTCTCCCACAATGCCGGCCCATATGTTGATTGCAAAGTGGTGTTGGTCTCTACGGAGGGCTAGGTTATGGGGATTATCTTCAGCCCAAAAGTGACTATTACAGCGATGGAAAAACCCGTCTCGTGTAAAACATGCTTCGTCCGAAAACAGAACGTGGCGACCGAGTCTGGTTCAATTAGCTCCTACTGCAACCACCAACGACAGAAACGGCGCCGCGGCGGATGATCATCCAGAACAAGCTTTGGACTCGTAGCAAATGGTACGGGTGTAGTTGTTGCTCCCGGAGAGTCCGCCAACAGGACATGGGGCCGCCCCCATAGCACTTGCAATCGCACGCACACTTATGGACGGGTTGTCCTCTACATGGTGCAGAACCGCTTCTTCAAACTCTGCTCTGCGCACGGCGAAAGGCCGGCCTGCGCCTCCTAAGCATTGGCCGCTACCACTTTCACGAAGACGTCCATGAATCCACACAAAAATGACGTGGCTAGGTTGATGACTTTCTGGGAACCGTTCGGCGTACAGCCGCTCAGCTCTTCTCCCATTACCGCCAGCTTCTCCGTAAATCATATGCATATCAGCAAGTTTCGCATAGAAATAATGCTCCATTTCACCAACAAATTAATGCGACTTATGTCCGGTTCGTGCACCACTCACTGAAACTAACTGCACAGATAACAACCTTGCGATCAATCTAATCAGTTTACTGAGACTACGTGACACAGTTACCAAGTTTATGCTTCCGTTAAACCGTTTTAACCGCTAAGAAAGTTTTCGAACCTAAAACGTTTTATCCTGAATTTATACTTCTATGGAGCTTTCCCCAAAATAGTTTTTAAATGTCATAGCAAGCAGTGGTGGCACTCTCTTAAAACGGTTCGAGATGTTTACGCAGTATTTAAACCGTTTTCAAATTGATTAAAACGCGTTTTTAAAACGTTTCAAATCAACACGGTTTAACGAGATAAAACGGTTTAACGGGAAGTATATACATAGTAAGTGTTTTGTTAACAACTCATCCAACGTGACAAAACTAAATAAGACAGTGAGCGAGACGAACCTTTCACTACTAGTGGACTTTCTGATCCTCTCAAATTATGAATGCTATAGTGCCATGATGGCTTTTTTCCGGATAGGGTTTCATAAGGCAAACTTGCTTATTTTGATACCCTCTGCAACCTCTATCATTTTGTCACAATAACTATGAAACACCCTGTGTAGGATCCAAAATAGCTAGAGATAAATTCCGATTCATAGATCGCCACCGCATCAATAAGCAATATTATGGCTTACAACGGATTTTATTAAATTTTTTTATGAAGTATTTCAAATATTGACTCTCTCCACCAAAAGAGTCAATGCCGTACTAATAATTTCAATTGTTCACTGATGCTGCATTTGAATATAACTTGATAACCTCTCTTAATCCAAAAGGATGAAGGATTAAAAATTAAGGAACGTATTAATACTATTAATAAATTTAGAAAAAAAAACTTTTTGAAAACAAGCTTTTATAAAATGGACTAAAAAGCATAAAATAATTTTTTGAGTGTTCTGATATCATAATAATAAAAGCGATGGGCGTATTAAAGGAAATTTACCCGTTTTTGTTTTAGCCTTGTTAACTCGAAGTTTAGTGAAAATCCAAATTCATTATATTATAGCAGAGAAATGTAAGGGTAAACAATTTAACCCAACCCAACCCAACCCTACTCAAGTTACCCTTACATTTTTCTGATATGGATGGACATTATTACGCCTGCTTCATATTAGGCAGATCATCCGCGACCGGCAATGTGTCGATTTATTTTGTCACATTGAAAAAGAAGAGTCGGCCCATTATTGGTTGTGGACGATCCACCAAATGCGCATGGAAAGGCATTTACCTAATATTAAATACGCCCATCGCTTTTATTATTATGATATCAGAACACTCAAAAAATTATTTTATGCTTTTTAGTCCATTTTATAAAAACTTGTTTTCAAAAAGTTTTTTTTTTCTAAATTTATTTTTTAATTTTTAGATTTGTCTAAGTCTATGCATTTCAGCTAGCGCATCGATATCGCAGGGAGTCTTTCCTGTCAAAATTCGTAATCCTCATCCTCAAAAACCCCCAGATACCAATTTGGTAGAAATCCGACAAACTAAAATTTTACCCCCTCTCCGCCCTCCACGTTAGGGGGGTGGTAGGCAGTCAGTGATACCACATTATTGGATTGTCATCGGAACTATAACGGTATGCGAAATTTGAAGTCAATCGGATACGTGGAAGTCAGTTGAAAGTAATCAGAAAAACTTGACATTGAATCGTCCATTTTGAATCCGCCATATTGAATTTTTGTAATCTGATCAAAAATTCGTAATCCTCATCCTCAAAAACCCCCAGATACCAATTTTGGTGGAAATCTGACAAACTAAAATTTTACCCCCTCTCCGCCCTCCACGTTAGTGGGGTGGTAGGCAGTCAGTGATACCACATTATTGGATTGTCATCGGAACTATAACGGTATGCGAAATTTGAAGTCAATCGGATACGTGAAAGTCAGTTGAAAGTAATCAGAAAAACTTGACATTAAGTAAATCGTCCATTTTGAATCCGCCATATCGAATTTTTGTAATCTGATCAAAAATTCGTAATTCTCATCCTCAAAAACCCCCAGATACCAATTTTGGTTGAAATCGGACAAACTAAAGTTTTACCCCCTCTCCACCCCCCACGTTAGGGGGGAGGTAGGTACCCGATGAAACCATATTATTGTATTGTCATCGGAACTAAGACGCTATGCGAAATTTGAAGTCAATCCGATGTTTGGAGGTTCTTCAAAAATGAGTTGCATGATTTGATTACATACATACATACATACAGGTGAAGTTAAATAAAAGCTTGTAATATAGGCCGGAGCCGATGTGCTCCCAAATAACCCAGGGGTCGAAATTAGTGGCCCAGGATGCCACCGAATTTTTAGTCTAATGCAATATTGAAGGCGATCTCCAAATGTTCTGAGTTAACCAAAATGCAATAAAAGAACTCAATTTTATTTTACTCAAAGGCCATCATATACAGGGTGTTCATTTTAAAACTTACCACCCCTTTTATCTCGGAGGAGAAAAGTTTTCGAGAAAATGCCTGGAACACGTCAACTATAATCTCAGGGGGGATGAGTTTTTATGCAAAATTCACCTCCCCCCTTTCAACCCTCCAGCCCGCAGAGCCTCTTCCTAGAAAATCTTAAATGGGAAGGGGAGTCAAGTGATCATTTTGGAGGGTTTTTAATTCCATACATTCTGATACTAAATTTTAATCCCTAAGTTCAACTGTTTTGGAAATATTGACAGTTGAAATTTGACTTTTTTGCTACTTTGACAGGCTGTAAAACCTAAACGGTTAATTTTCGAGGAAAACCGATCTTACATTCCTATCTTAGATTTTCATAAACTATCGTTTGACGCCAACTTTGAATTTAACCGTAGATTAAATTTTTAACCGAGATTTCTGATCATGGATTAAATTAAAAGTTGTTGTCAAATGATAGTTTATAAAAATCTTAGATAAAAATGTAAGATCGGTTTTTTCCTAAAATTAACCGTATATAGGTTTTACAGCCTTTACAACTGTACCAAAATATATGGAATTAAAAACCTTCCAAAATGATATATCATTTGACCCCCCTTCCCATTTAAGATTTCCTAGGGGGTGACTCTGGAGGCTCGGGGGTTGAAAGGTCGGAGATGAATTTTGCACAAAAACTCATCCCCCCTCAAATTATAGTTGACGTGTTTCAGGGATTTTTTCGGAAATTTTTCTCCTTCGAGATAATAGGGGTGGTAAGTTTTAAAATAATACGAGCCGCACATTCGAGTATTCAAATCTTAATATAACGATTTCGGAGTACTTTCCCCCTCTTAAGTAACCTTAGGTGCTAGAATAAATTACAGGATGGGCCAATGGAAGCTTTCCACCCCGAATTTTTGGATTTGAAATGATCGGACACGTCGATTTTTGAATTGAGGAGGAACTATTTTTCTTTTTTTTTTTTCATTCTCATAGCTTTAACCCCCTAGTGGGGGGAGAACCACCTCTCAAATTTGAATACGGGATGCATTTATTCATTCCGTAAATGTATATGGCACCTAGCACAATCCCATTGGTCAGATTTGAAATTTAAACCGATTAAACTTCGAGTGCCACATGCGCGTACGGAATGTAAATCAGTGCAATATGCACTTACGGATTGTAATATAGTTATGCGTTTTGCGCACGCAAAATCACGTCTCCAGCGGCGATATATCCTGTTTTATTTTTGTGATTGTCGGGCTTACATAGGTAGGTATTTCTATGGAGTTTGGCGTTGCGTTCTCTCTTCCGATTTTCTCAAAAATGTTTTGAACAAGAAATTGGCAGTTATTGCTTCGGCGACATTATTTCAATCGGATCTCTTGTGTTTATTTGGATGTTTAAAATCGCCATGCATGCTATGCTGCGACAACGTTGCTACCTTTGAATTATAAATATTCTAAACAGAGTCCTGGAAAATATGGAGCAAACCTAATGACTGAAAATGACGCTAGAAGATGGGTGGAAGAATTTGTGTCTTTGACAAATTCACCATAACCATCAATTTTCAGAATGTTGTTGATCTAATGCTTTCTAAAAATAGCGAATTTGGCACTTCTAGTTCAACTAAACTAGTGGACAGTTGCTTTGCAACATGGAAAATTTTACCCAAATTCAAATCTTGATATTTTTAAAACGAAGAGAAATATCGAGTTGCGGTATTCAGGAGATTCTTCAACAACTCTTTGAGAACACCTACAGGGTTCGACCGGTATATTTCTTTTATTTATCCACTTATACAGGGCGAGCACAGAAAGTAATGTTTTTTCAGCAAAGTTTGGGGCTATGTCAGATTCTCAATTTTTGATCGTGGTAAATTTTCTATGCATCTTCTTGATATTTGGACTATCCTAAAAAAAAGTAATTTCTCAAATTTGTCGAAAATTGTCTATAACTCAAATTAGCGTATTTTTAATAAAGGGTTACATTTATCCCTAAAAAACAGACTTTTTCGGGGTTTCTCGCGAGAATAGGTATTTATTCTCATACTGTTGCATGAAGTGGAATTTTTTGCGACCTAGAAAAGATTGAAGCACCCATTGAACGTTATTACCTCCAGTGGTGTACAGAAAAAAATTGCTTCTTTGACATTATGTGATTTAAACCGAATTTATCAATTAGGTATACTAGGCAATTAATCAGGTTAATGAATAGATCTAAGTTAGATACCTACTACTTTTGGTACAGGGGTGTATTCCAGTGGCGTAACCCTAAGAGCATTTTTTAATTTGGTAAGAAGTGCTAATAGCTTGAAAATTGTTATTTTTCAAGATGCTTTAATGCTGGCCAACACTAGCTGCTTACGAACTAATAATTTTCTGACCTAACTTCAAGAAAAGGAACTGAGTTGCACATACGATTTGACAGAACTAAGTTAGAATCTTACTTCCCTCTTTATCCCTGCTAAGACACCCGTATTTTCGACTGAGATATCTAAGTTGTCGTAAATTTGACATTTCGGTAAGTATGTTTTGATCAGCTTATTAGAATTGC